TTACCATGTTATAAAGTTATTGTTCAACTTGAAAATATTCTATACAAATTACATATCACTTTTTTAAAAAAAACTTACACATCATTTTTGTATATTTTGTTGTAGAACTCATTCATACTGTGATCATTGATTATTATTATTTTTTAAAGATGGATGATAATGTTTTAAAATTTCAAGATTTTTTTACTAATTTCAAAAGATAAAGTGTGACTTTTACAATATATCTGTTTTAAATTATAAATTTAAATTGAGTTTAGTAATCTTTTATTTTATTTGAGTAAAATTTAATAATAAATAACAATATTTAGTATATTGTTCATAGAAACTAAAATTTCATTTTAAATTTTATTTTCTTGTTTAAAATTTTAAATATAGAATTACAGAAATTTAGTTTTATTCTACCATGAATTTAAAATTTATTTTCATTTTAAAACTCATTAACACATTTAAAATTTGAAGAATGATCATTTTTAATTTTTCTCTGTTAAAATTTGAATTATATTATTAATACAAATAAATTTTTTATAATATTATTTTTATTATTTTAACATTTCATTTCTTTACATAATCCATTTTTTATCTATTTAAAATTTTTATTAATTATAAGTAACATAAATATGCACTAAATAAATGTTTTAAATTTATTTTAGTGTAAAATAAATAGTGTTGCTTATGTGGATGCTTATGTGGATATTTTAAATGGAGAAATGACTCTCCTATTATATATAAACGTTGAATTATATTATTATTACTAATAAAAAATTTATAGTATTATTTTGATTATTTTAACATTTCATTTCTTTCCATAATTCGTTTTTTGTTTATTTAAAATTTCTATTAATTATAAGTAACATAAATATGCACTAAATGAATGTTTCAAATTTATTTTAGTGTAAAATAAATAGCGTTGCTTAGATGAATACTTAGGTGGATACGGAGAAAGGATTCTTCTATTATATATATAGATTTTCTCTTTGTTGTTTTCTTTTATTTTTTGCATCTAAATATTATATGTACATGTGGTTCATAGTTTAATACTCTGTGTTAAAAAACGCAAACAATATTTTTTTTTTTTGGAAAACGCAAATTACATGAAACACATGATTGATGTCATAAATTTTTTTTCAAAAAACGTAATTGAAATCCGCACTTTTTAATGTCTCTCTGCAAGGCTTAAATGTCCTTTTCTCTAAGAAACAAATAGGCCTCTTTAGATGTTTGAAGTTGTATTGTAATCCTTCGTATCATTTAGGTGTAACTTGGGAAAAAACTGAGTTTGAATCAAGTTTGGACCGTGTTATACGAAATGAAGAAGCATGCATTGATGTCTTGGTCAGTCAAAAAGCTCGGAAAAAGAACGATTTGGAGTATGGAAAGCAAAATGGAGGATTTTGGATCGTAAGCATCCAAAATATGGTCTGACTAAGTTGATTAAGCTTGTAACAGCGACGATGGCACTACACAACTTTATAAGGGATTCACATCGGGAAGATCATGACCTTTTCCAATGGCAAAGCACAGAAGAATATCATGTTGATGAAGAAGACGAAGAAGAAGCAGAAGAAGGAGAAGAAGGAGAAGAAGGAGAAGAAGAAGAAGAAGAAGAAGAACATATTGCATATGAGCCGACCGGTGATAGAGCGATGGAAGCTTTGCGTGACAACATCACGAATGAATGTAATAAAGGTCGTTTACCTTATTAGATATTTTTAGTTTTTTGTTTATGACTTGGTTTATTATTTTACTTAATAACTTTGTCAATCTTTTTTCGTTTATGACTTGGTGTATTACGTTTAGTTAAATGTTTTGGTTTACTATTTTTGTTTTAATTTAGCTCATGATTTATGACAAAAAATCATATTAATATATTTATATATTTTACTAAAAATTAATTCATTACCCAAAAAAAAAACTAAAAATTATTTCTAGCTAAACAAATATTTCTTAAGGATGTAAATATATTTAAATTATATTTTTCATGATTCAAAATATAATTATACAAATTTATAAAAATAAACTAAGAATTAAGTAAAAATTATCGCAGAGGCGACGAAACGAACAAAGCAGATGCGGCTGCGGCAGCGGCGGCGACAGAGATTGCGGCATCTAAACGAACACAAAACCTACGGCAGCGGTAACGGTTGCCGCAGCATCGGCAACGACGAAACGATAAATAACCTGCGGTAGTGTTTGCCGCCGCCGCATGCGGCGACGAAACGATGCTATATATCGATAATTTTGCATTTTTGTTTTTGGGTACAAAATCGATAATGCTGCATAAGGTATACAATTTTATGATAAGAAACATCTCAAGGAAATTTATTGTATAGCTAGGAAAGAGTCAGTAGTACAATACATATAAAGCTAAATAAATAAATAACAGAAAGAAATAAAAGTAAATAAAAGTGTAAATGGATTTGTGCAACATCCAAATTTTAAAGAAAGGTATAGTTGGGGTATGTGATGAGTGTTTCGAGGTTGTTGCTTCTTGGAAAGGAACCCTGATAATTGTTCATCATATTTTCTCTTTCTTTTTTTTTTTTTTTGTCTCAATCCTTTTTAGAAAAGACAAAAAAATAAAGCAATTAAGCAAAGAAAAATTAGCATGTTTATAAGTTAGATATATATAAAAAGGCTAATTTTATTGACCATGAGAGAGTATCAATGATCGAACGGTCGACAGGTCACACATGACCCAATTAGTTCTCAGATAAATTATCTACATAATGATAATGGTTAAGCGAAATTCATATAAAACTATCTCTTCATAATGATTAAATATATATTTAGAAAATGGGCTCAACACGTAAACGTGGCATTGCATCAAATTCTCACACGTACATCAGTACATGCAATTAAGGCTACTTAAGGATGGACCGTAACTACTAGGAGCACTCAGTATTCAGAAGCTTAATTAAGATTCAAGTTTAATTTAAATAACGTCAACAAAAAAAACACATTTCGCTTAAATTCTTTCCTAACCAGTTTAGTTTTCGTGATAAAAAATGGAATCTCAAATGTTTGCTTGGTCAAGTTTTGTATTGATTCCCCAAAGCCATTCTTCTCAATATTCATATCTTAAATTTCATTTCATCAGAAATTATAACAAAAAAAATATTTCTATTTACTCCTTTTTATAAAGTCACATAAAAATTCTGCCGACATTTATTATTCGCAATAAAGATTTATTTCGTTAAAAGAAGTTTTTTTATAACGCTTAAACACATAATTATTCGTTATAAAAAGAAGGGGAAAAAACCCGAAAAAATCGCCATCTATTTTTTTTTGGCCGTTTAATACGTGTAGTATTAAAATTGGAATAAAAATACCTTGATTAATTATTGTTGTCTTTTAAATTCTTTGTTTTTTAAATTTTGGTAGATTCGTACCTCCGCGTTAACGGCCGTTAACGATGGTAACGGAATCGCTAACTGGAGTAAACTTAACTCATTGTGTTTACGTATATATATATAATCTCTTTTCATAATTGTACAGTTATTTTGTCTTAGTCTGGTGGTTAAACGTGGATAAAATATCCTACTGTGCCTGTGTTCGAATCCCACCTCTGTCTCCTCGAGACGTTTTTAATATTTTTTTTTATTTTTTTTTTTGACTTCGTCTCCTTCGAACCTCTTAGTTCTTTCCTCACTGTAAACCCTAGTTCTCAGAAATTGAGCAAAGTAGCAAACTATATTAGTCCCTCTCGATATTTATTCTTATGATGCGATGTTTCTTATCCTATTGTTATTTGCTTCAGATGAAGTGGTGTCCTCGCTCGGGATGTGATTTTGCGATTGATTTTGTTGCAGGATCTGGAATTTATGATGTTTCCTGCAGTTCAATTCTCTTTTTAAGGAGTTAAGGAATCTTAAATCACTTGTTTGATTTGATTATATTGGTCAGACTTTGGGTTTTGAATATTGTTTGATTAGATCCAATTGTGAAGTTTCTAATGGAGCAAATGGAAAAATCTGGGTTTAGAGTTCGTGACGACGGTAGATTCTTCACAAAGAAGACGAAGTCAAAAAAAAAAAAAAATTATAAACCCAGGGACGGAGGTGAGATTCGAACCCAGGTTCTGGTGGATTAATAAACAGTCGTTTAACCACCACACTAAAGCAATGTATTCGTATAATTATGAAAAGAGGTTGTATATATATACGTAAATACCATGGTTAAGTTTTAACTCCAGTTAGCTTTTCCGTTACCCACGTTAACAGCCGTTAACACGGAGGTACGAATCTACCAAAATTTAAAAAACAAAGAATTTAAAAGACAACAACAATTAATCAAGGTATTTTTATTCCAATTTTAATACTACACGTATTAAACGGCCAAAAAAAAATAGATGGCGATTTTTTCGGGTTTTTTCCCTAAAAAGAAGTTTTTTTTTTTTTTTTTTTTTTTTTTTTTTTAACGCTTAAACACATAATTATTGTGGAAGCCCCCTTGGCCCATTGGTTGACCAAGGGTTAATTAATGCTTCTATACCAAAAGATCTGGGGTTCGAGTCCTAGATATTGCGATTTATTTAAATTTACAGATTAAATGAGGCAAGTGTGCAGGAGATCTCCATCGAAGTACAATTATAGCCGTTCGCCAGGATTCTACGCAGAGAGAGAAGTGTCGTCAGGTCGTGGATCATTGAAGGTGTCCGTCAAGAGCACGGAGAAGGAATTGTCCGTTGTAGAATCGTCTATGTAACAGTTCTCATAATTTGCAATAAATAATAAATCTAGACGTCAAAAAAAAACACATAATTATTAGACTAAACACTCATAATTAATAATCATACAAAATCATTAGTCTCCCAAATAAAATCTTTGCTAAAATATCACATCCTCTCAAATAAAAACGAGATCACGTGGATCAACAGATAAAGCGACAGATAAAGCGAGTACACACCACGCGCCAATACCGAGACTGAGATTTCAAAATTCGACGAACCAATTTGCCTCTCTTCACATGCGATGCTTCTTCTCTCTTAAATATCCACCGTCACCACTCTCTCTTTCTCTTTAGATTCTCTCTCTACAGAGAATTCGATTTTTTTTTTCTGATCTGAGAAAAAATGGCGAACGGAGCTAATAGAGTGGATCTAGATGGAAAACCGATAAAACCGATCACAATATGCATGATCGGAGCCGGAGGTTTCATCGGTTCACATCTCTGTGAAAAGCTAATGACGGAGACGCCTCACAAGGTGCTTGCGCTTGATGTTTACAACGATAAGATCAAACACTTGCTTGAGCCAGATACCGTTGAATGGAGTGGTCGGATCCAGTTTCATCGTATCAATATTAAGCATGATTCGAGGCTTGAAGGTCTTATTAAGATGGCGGATCTGGTAAAAATGCTTCTTCTTATCGATTTCGCTTCTTTATCTCTTGTTTTTCGTTGTTTATGGTTAAGAAATTAGTAATGATAGTGTGATTGTGATGATTGTAGTCTCAGATCTGATGATTCGTTATCGGAATTCAGATATTTTGCATTTTGATTATCTGCTTAATTTCGCGATGTGTTGAGATCGGGAATGTTGTGATGTGATTCTGATGTTTGTGTTTTGGATTTGCAGACTATAAATCTTGCTGCGATCTGTACTCCTGCTGATTACAATACACGTCCTCTTGATACTATCTACAGCAATTTCATTGATGCGCTTCCAGTTGTATGTGTTTTCTTCTTACTTCGTCCATTGTTTTGTGCTTCATTGTTAGTTGAAATTGATTGGTTTGATGTGTTGGTTTTGTTAGGTTAAATACTGTTCTGAGAACAACAAGCGTCTCATTCACTTTTCTACCTGTGAAGTGTATGGAAAAACCATTGGTAGCTTTCTTCCTAAGGATCATCCTCTGCGTGAGGTAATGCCTTTTGTACCTTTCGCTTTCAACATGTTGTTGTCTTTCTATCAATCACATCAATGAATGTACTGAGGAACATGTTGAAGCTGACATTTTCTTTTGTTTTCCTAGCTACATTATGAATTATTCATTGGATCTCGTAAAACTCATTTGTTTAATTCACTTAAGACTTTAGACAGATTGGAATAGTTAATATTTTTCGTTTTAAGAATGTGTGGGATCTTAAGCATGTAGAAAACATGGTTTCTTGAACTTCAATTGCCTAAGGTTGGCTTGATTGTTTACTAATGTTGTTTGTTGTGCCTTTCTACAGGATCCTGCTTTCTATGTTCTTAAAGAAGATATTTCCCCTTGCATATTTGGTTCAATTGAGAAGCAGAGATGGTCATATGCATGTGCAAAGCAACTGATTGAGAGACTTGTTTACGGTAAGCTTTTCTGTTTAAGATGATGTGTGGTAAGAACCAAAAGGTTTACACTTTGACTAATGTTCTTGTGACAGCTGAGGGTGCTGAGAATGGACTTGAGTTCACCATTGTAAGACCTTTTAACTGGATTGGACCTAGGATGGATTTCATCCCCGGCATTGATGGTCCTAGCGAAGGTGTCCCACGTGTCCTTGCCTGTTTTAGTAATGTAAGTGTTCAAATCCAAGTATATAACCCAATGTTATTCTGTGTATATGCAAGTTTTGAGTTAATGCATCTCTATCTATCTTTCAGAATCTTCTACGTCGTGAGCCTCTCAAGCTTGTGGATGGTGGAGAATCACAGAGAACTTTCATCTACATCAAGGATGCTATCGAAGCTGTCCTTTTGATGATTGTACGTTCTATTGCTTATATCATTCTTTGTGGTTTTCGCTTACAAACTGTTTAACTCCAAAGAAGTTCCAACTAAAAACCTGCACTGATATATTGTGTTTGTGGTTCAGGAAAACCCAGAGAGGGCAAATGGCCATATCTTCAATGTGGGCAATCCGAACAACGAAGTTACAGTACGACAGCTAGCTGAAATGATGACTGAGGTGAGGAAGATTGGTTTCAAAACAACCAAAAGAGTTGGAGTTTTCTTTCTTTCTCTGGTTCTGAAATATCGAAATGAATCATGTTTCAGGTTTACGCAAAAGTGAGTGGAGAAGGAGCCATTGAGAGCCCGACGGTTGATGTTAGCTCCAAAGAGTTTTACGGGGAAGGTTATGATGACAGTGACAAGAGAATCCCAGACATGACCATCATTAACCGCCAGCTCGGTAATTTCCATATTTAACATGGTGATGATAATGCTTTAAAAATTAAAATCAATAGCTATTCTGATAGAGTTTGGACATTGGAAATAGGATGGAACCCGAAAACATCGCTGTGGGACTTGCTCGAGTCGACCTTAACCTATCAGCACAGGACCTATGCTGAAGCTGTGAAGAAAGCAACATCCAAACCAGTGGCTTCCTAAACTCTCCAAGAACCCAAGTTACCAACAAGACTCATTAAACACGCATCATTTTGCCATTTCACTCTATTCGATTCTATTTTTTTTTTTTCATCACAAGAGAAAACCTTTTTTAAAAAGAAAACAGTATAATCACGGTGGTTCGTATCAAGTATATCTTCTATATTTTCGTTATAAGTTTTCTCTTTTTGGTTGGTTTGTTTGGCCATGTATGTCGCAGCTGTTTGAAAGCAAAAGGTTAATAGTTTGTAGCCAATGATACAGACAGTAATGTTTGCGTTTATTATATATTCAAAATGCTTCGTTTACGTGTGTACGAGTTACCAAATATTATTTTGTCTATCAAGTACAGAATGTGTTTCGTTCGGAAATAAAAATAAGTAGATGTCGACTGGTTATATATGTTAAAAGTGGATAAAGTCACAAGTAGCGTCTGTAGTCCAACGGTTAGGATAATTGCCTTCCAAGCAATAGACCCGGGTTCGACTCCCGGCAGACGCATTTGATTTTGAATGTTAATTTTCATTCGTTCTGCCACACATTTCTGCTTACTTTTTCTTCGTTCCTTTTTTTAAACATCTTTTTAATCTTTTACTTTACAAGCGAATGTTGTTGTTATTATTGTTTACAAGAGGGAGTAAAAAAGAAAGGACATTGACTAATGAAACTACTTCCGTTTTTAACTCTTTTATTATATACACTCTACTTTAGTATTGCGAATTTGCGCTCAAGATTAGATTAGAATCTGTCGACATCAGCAATCATCACTGAAAAGTTATGGACTTGAAAAGAATAAATGATTTTGAATTTGGTATAACACAAATCATATTTCATTTAAAGTTTTAAACCATTTAACACTCCAAAACGACAACATAACATATATTAGAATAATCCCAAAATTTTCAAGAATCCCAAAAACCTCATAAGTCACAAGTACAAATTTCTATGGAAAAATGTGATTTGGTGTCCTCTACTTTTTGCAGGAAGAACCACAAGGGAATGGACATCTCTTCTTCCCTCCTACACCAAAATGGTTTTAAACCAAATCAATAATCCAAAATACTCATCTCATACTCAAATTTATATCTTTATATATCTTAACTTTAGTTTTAGTTACCTGATGACTTGTTCTTGTTTCCACCTTTAGGTATCCCATATGTACCATTTGACATCTTCTTGCTCGGAGGAACCACCTTTAAAGCTGCTTCAGCCTCTACGTCTTCTTCATCCTCGTCCAAACTCATCTAACCAAACATACAGAAAAAAAGCAATCAAGATTAGCTTTTTATACTGATTCATTGCTTATCAGTAACTCCTTAAAGCAAAATCTACCTCATCTGAGTCGGATGACTCATCTTCTTCAGGATTCATCTCATTTTGAGGCAAAGCGTCTTTTCAACAATATCAAAGTTAGGATTCATAATAAACTTTAGTTACCACAAACAAAGCAGTAGCTTAGTAAAGTAAACATACCAATTTGTTGTTCCATAAATTCCTCTAACTCAGAATCTACAAAAACCAAAAGCAAAAGATTAGCTTCAAGTTTCATAATAGATTAAATCAAATTATTGACTAAGAATTATATATAACTCACCGGAATCAATCTCCTCATCCGTGAGGATCAGCAAAAAAACAGAGCAAAACAAAATCAAGGATAAACAAACAAAGCTTGAAATCGCAAGTGAGCATGAATTGAACTAAAAAAAGGCAATGAAACAAAGGATATTGTTCGTCCATAGGGGTCCTGTAGCCAATAAGATAGACACTTGTTTTAGAGTTGTGAGAAATCTCAAACTCATGCCCTAAGAAGAGATCAAGAGAAATTTGAGGAAACTTCTGCGAGAGGTTTCCAATGATAAACCCACTCTTATCACCACCAATCTTCACATAAACGGGAACATTCTCATCTTCTTTAACCTTGTCAACCTCACCAAGAGTAACCTAAGAGATGTTACAACAAGTAACACAATCAATACCAATCATGTTTACACAAAGAGAGAAACTTGCAGGAATTACAAAACTGATAAAGACCTGATTGGCATGGACCATGTATCCATCTTTTGAAATCATCTTAAAAGGCTTCTCTGGCTTAATCTCAATACCTAAAATTGAACATTATTCATCATACATTGAGTACAAATGCAAACAAAATCTCACAACGATAGATGCTTTGAAAACATAAACTCACAAAGATAGATGCTTTGAATCATAAACTCACAAAGATAGATGCTTTGAATCATAAACTCACAAAGATAGATGCTTTGAAACAAAATCTCACAAAGATAGATGCTTTGAAACCTAAACTCACAAAGATAGATCTTTTGAAACCTAAACTCCAAGAATACTAATACTAGCAAACAATTATACAGTTTTTGAATGCAAGACAATGCTTATTGAGTAATATAGATTATTAGCAAACAATTATAGAGTTTTTAACACAATAGAAGACAGAGGTATTCAATAGAACTTAATATAAAGGTATAATTTTTAGAGAGACATACCCCAAAACTCCATAGCTAGTGAAAGAGGAAGACGTGGAGGTGTGTGTGTGTGTGGCTGCTTTGAGAAGAAGAATTTAGGGTTTTAGAGTTTGTATGAAACAAACAAAAAAACAATGGAGCGGCTTATTATAAGGATGCTCTTACTCCTTTAAACTTCCTTTTCGCCGGTAGGGTTTTACGACTTATCCAAACATTTTTTTTTTATTACTCTTTTTGGAATGCTTCGTTAATGGGCCTTTATTTTTAGTGGGCTTATTTTGGACCGGCCTTGTTTTTATTGGGGATTTGTTTTTGTTTTTTGAGTTTTTTTTTTATAGTATTTTATTTAATAAATAAAAATATGTATATGATTCTGAAGTCTGAACATTGGTTTTGATATAAATTAATTGGAAACTAATTAAAGAGAGAAATAGAGAGAAAATGTTGAATAAACAAATAAGAGAAGAAGAGCAACACGGTATCAAATTGGTTTCTCAAAATTGTCTGACTTTAGGGATAAGGTTGGCCAATGTCGTTATTTACATAAAACGAAAGCAAAGTTCTATTATTAGAGGTCCAAAACCAAAGTATCTTAGAGCAACACCAACGGTTGAGTCCTTAAAAGGATTCCTAAACATATTTTAATCATAAATTATGACAATTTTAAGGTTAAGAGTTTTGATGAATCCTTAAAAAAAATTTTGTCCAATGGTAGAGTTCTTAAGTGGGTTTCTTAAAAAAAAGAAATTTTAAAATTTTAAAATTCTAAATATTTTTATTTGATAAAACTTAATAATTATTACAATTTCCTAAGAATTTTAAACATACAAGACAAAAAATCAAAAAAAAAATACACTGAAACATACAAGAGAAAAACAATTTATCTGTTTCACTTTTTTTTACTTATTTTACAATTTGACTGTTCTTATTTTATTTTATTTTTTCTTCACACTGAAACTGATCTTAAACAAAGCTTCTTTAACCATAATAAACAAAATCTAAAATTCATCTAAAGAAGTAGAAACCCAAAAAAAAAAAAAACTCTTATGTACATATATTATATCTATCTACTTCGGTTTCAGAAACACAGAAACAGAGATATCAAGAAACAGAGAGAGATTTGGGTTTTTTATTTTATTTTTAAGTAACTATCTCTCCAACAAATAAGCATAATAACGCATCGACGCATGATATAGAAACGAGCTCTCTGTTCTTTAACCAATCTTACACACTTACGTATTTCACTTTTGTTTTCTTTGTTTGCCAACGAATGAAATCGTGCCACGTATGCGCACCTTACAATCAGAAAAACTCTAAACTAAGAAACAGACCTTAACATTTCTCACATTTTTTATTTATTTTTGTCCCATTTTCATAAGGACTCACTCCTCAAATCTCTCTAGGACTGCCCACTGGGCTTGCTCTTACAACCAAAAAAGATAATATAAAATAAACAATCTTCTATTATATTCTGTTTGTAATTACCCATTTTCGTGGCTATATTCATCCTCGTATAATAACTTTATAAATTCTCAATTACAATAAAACTAATTTTGTCCATAACACCAAAAAAAAAAAAAAAAATCCTATCATAATAGATTCATATTGGTAAAATTTAGAACTTTCTATAATCATCTTGGTAGTATATAATTTGATTAAAATACATTATACACCACAAATTAATGATTTTCATTTCTACATAGAAAATATATACAGATTACCAAATTTATATATCCTTTTCCTAAAAATGGAACTAATTCGAAAAAAGCAATAATCCAAAATGATTAAAAACTTCTAGAAGCCCATAAATTTGAGCCAATGAAAACCAGTTTTAGCCACTTTCTCTGCTTCCTTCGAACAAGATTCCGACGATGAACCACCGCCGATAAATCCTCCGGTATCTTTCCGGCCACATAAGAAAAAGTTTCTCGACCCAAGCGATATCAGCTTCTCCTCTCTTCCAATACTTTCAAGACTAAACTGAGAATAATGAAGATCAAATCTTGACGGTTCAGATTCCGGTAAAAATGGCCGGCGAGCTTCTTTAACATACTGACGAATCGCGGCGTCGATTAGATCACTCACGGTGGATTCCGGCGAGATTATAATTTGTACAGCTCCTAAACTTCCTTGCACCGTTACGTTAAGTAAAAGTTTCGTTAGACGCGGCGGGAACGAATCCGTCACCGGTCCGGTGATGCTTTGACCGGTGGAGAATAACTCCGGTAATGTTTTCGGTCTTCGAAGCTCTCCTGGATTCGATACCGGCGTTGTTCCTCTGCCGTGAAACGACATCGCTTTCTCTGATAACTTTCTCCGGTGAGACTTCTCTGTTTCCGGCGTTGTTTTCCGGTTACCGTTCTTCATGTTTTAAAGATTTTTTATCGTCGGAAGAGAGATACGGTGGCGCTCTCGTGTTGTCGCCGGTCACCGGAAGAAGCTAACATAAAGTCAGAGTGGCAAAACTGTAAATAGTGGAGGATGGTGAGGGTATAAAGATAAGAGTAATGGAATGTGAAGAGTGAAGTATTTATAGTGGATTTGTGGATAATGAAACGGTGAGAAATTGCTTGGAAATTTCTGAGAGAAGGTAACCGGTTATAGGAGGTGAACCGGAGGTTTAATTATGTGTGTGAGTACGGTACTGGGTCCAGGTTTAACCGGTGGCTTTGAATTTTTATGAATTTCATTATTATTATCCACTGGTCGTAGAAACCAATTTGGACTAGGTTTTGGTTGGATTCGACTCTTTGTTAGTTTCATTGGTTACTTTGTAATATAGTGTTCACCTCTTGAAATGCTCAATGATTATTATTGTTTCTAATTGATTTTAGTATTCTTTTTTAGTTTGGTCAACACAATTTATTGTTTGTAAATTGTAATCTTTTGTGAAATCAAAGTAATTATGAGAATAAGTTCATTCCCTTCATTAGTTGGAATTTTAATATATTCATGCACATTGTTACCATTAGTAACAGAAAATTGCATATGATTTTAAATTATATATTTCCATTTTTAGTAAAATATTGATTTTAATTGCTTTTGCATATATTAAAAAAATTTAGTAATATTTAATGCGTCATTTTTTCACGTCAAAACAAATATTTATGCTATTATGAACCAATAATAACTCTTATTTTCAAATATTATCATCTATTATATATCTTGAAGTTTACAACTTATTAACATTAATTAATAAAATTTACATAAAAATCAATTTTCATGAAACAAGAAAAAAAACTAATGTTGGTTTTTCTTTTAGGAACAGAACTAGTCTATTTTTAAATGAATTGAAAGCATTGTGTGAATCCATTATTTATTTATCTTTTATGAAATTAAAGCATGCTACAAACAACTTTTCTCTATGTTTTGTGAAATTAAAGCATGTTAGAAAACTAAAAAAATTTAATTATGTAGTATGTATTTACATTGTTTTCCTCATTTATTTATGTATTTTCATAAAATAGACGATATAAATATATCTCGTTTCGTAAGTTTACAAATTATAAGCAAGACTTATGTAAGAAGCCCTACCCAAGTTAAACCGGGTAAAACTGGAGATAAGACTCTTGCAAGGTTCAACGAACAAGCTTAGGCCTAGGCCTACAAGGCCAAGTCTCTCTTAATTACAAACAAATTAAATAAAATAAAAAACTATGTAACATACAAAATACACATGGCAAGAACAGAAAGTGAAGATGGGACCAAACGGCCGACATAACTGAAAGATGCCGGAGACGTGACCAATCTCATCCTCTTCAACTTGCTTTGCGATTAGTCCCCTCAATAATTGCATAGTATAGTGACATCATTTGGACAATTATGTTATATAATAATATAACTATTTAAATTAAAGAATCAAGAACTACATTAACTATTGGAACTAAACTTGACTGATCAAGGCATAACATAAAATAGATACAATTATTTATGTTGGGCATAACATTACGTAAGTAAACCTCATGGCAACAGATTATGTGACCAACTTATGTGAGGTTTAACGAAATATCTAATTTTAAACTAATCAAAATAGGAGTGGACCTAATATTAGTGCTTTTCTGGTATGTATACGAGCTTCTTCACTTTGATGCTTCACGTGGCCTAATTTAAAAAGTGTTTTCTGTTTTTAATCATGTCTAATATAATACTAAGAAGGATATTTCGCTAACACACATAATAGAAACGTGGCTATCTGCACAATTTGATAGATCGGCTTCCACGATTCTAACCCAATTTGCATTTGAATTATGATGCTTTAATTATTTTATTTTTTAGCAGAAAAATGTTCTCTCTTTTATTTTTGGCTCTTTGTTTGGGATGTTGCCTCCCCCGGATGATAGCAACTCAAGCTTCATTTCCATTTTTTGTTCAAATTTATTATCGAAGTTTACATTAATATTTTTTTTTGTATTTTGTATTTGCTATTGTTTAAAATCAATAAAATCCGACTCTTCAGTTCGATCGACTCGTGCAATCAAAACAAAGATTTTGATCCCATTTTCTGCAATCCATTTACATAGAAATCAACCATGCACTTAGAAAACACAAATTTGATTCCCGTTATGAGAGTTAAAAAGACAAGATTACCAGCCTCTGTTGGACCGGATTATGGGTAGATTTAATGCATGGACGGTGAAGCACCTATCATTTGTAGGTTGACTTCAGCTTATACAGTATGTGATTTATTATATTATAACTTTTTGGGCTTCAATATTCTTGCTTCCAAATCAATATCTCGAGGAAATTGAGCGCATGTGTAACGCGTTTTTCTGGAAAAGAATCTCAAATTCTGTTAGTGGTGCTAAGATTATTATCTTGGAACAAAGTTCTAGGTTTGAAACTCATTTGGCTTATCTTTATTACTAGTGGACCTTTGTGGGTTTCTTGGGCCATGCGGCATTTAGTTGGGCATAATTGTTTTTGGGATTTGAATATATGCAAGCACGGGCCTCTGGCCTATCCCTTTGTTGTGTGTGAGGTATGATCATGGATTACTTGTTATTTATGGAATGATAATTGGACATCCCTTGGTCCTCTATTAGAGATTACATGTGAGAATGGCCCCAGAGTTTCGGGTCTTCCCAGAGATGCGGTTGTTGCGGATGCACTAAAAGATGGTGAGTGCTGGATAAGTCGAAATAGGAGTAGGAATAACAATATTCAGCTATTAAAGCATTGTCTTCCATCCCCCTCAGTTGTCAGGCATGTTGAGGACGCCGAGGATGATTGTTACCTCTGGAAGGTGGGAGAGAATGAAGCTTCTAATGTGTTCTCCTCATCAAAAATGTGGTTGTGTCTCAATCCCACAGGTGGTATTGTGGACTGGTATGAGTCTATTTGGTTTAAAGAAAGAATTCCTAAACATGCATTTGCTGCTGGGGTTAATACCTGCAGATGTTACATATCAGGGATAGGCTTTTGATATGGGGATTGAGTGTTCCCTCCTTATGCCTATTATGCAATTCTCATGATGAATCTAGGCAACACTTATTCTTTGACTGCTCATATGCTTTAGAGGTGTGGTCTTTTTTCATTGATAAGGCCCATGTTTCTCCTCCTCATTTGTATGAAGATGGACCGGGTTAGATAGTTGAAGAATCCTTGTAGAGACAATAATGTTGCAATGATTCTCAAGTTCGCCTTTCAAGCCTCTATTTACACTCTTTGGAAAGAAAGGAACTCAAGACTACATAATGCTTCATCAGAACCAGTTTCTGCTCTAATTATTGAAATCATGAACCTCATTTGATGTCGACTTGACCCGCTATCAAGAGAACAATGAATTGTGCCACTGAATGTCTCATATCTAACCACTTGGTTTGGAGTCTTTCAGCCTTAATTTGCTCTATTTGTTTTCTCTATTTGTTCTTGTTGTTATAGGTGTTACTCTTCTTTGGAGGCATCGTGTATCTGTGACTGACATGTTTCAAGAGTTCTTAACCTGGGTTGAATGGTAAGTAAAATTAAAAAAAAAAAAATTAATTAACAAGATCACGACATATATCAGTTACCCAATTCGATTTTGACGCATGTCAAATATTTCATTTTTTCTCCATTCTCTTAGTTTCCTTGTTAATTGGTTCTCAAAATTAATAATTTTGACACTTTTTCAATTATTTTATTTTACATATTTCTATTTTTTTCTTGATTGTTTTGATTCTATCCTATTTGAATAGGATTTTTATAATGACGCTCATTGCAAATGTTTATGAAACTATATAGTGTGTAGGAACCGATTCTTAGATTTTGGTGGTCTAAAATATATATAAAAAATATTTTTTTTTTAAAAAGGCTTTCTATTTAAATGCATGAAAAGAAACAAATTACAAAAGCCCAGCAGTTTTAGTGTTTTTGGCCTAAGACCAGTAATAAGAGTGTAGCCCATTAAGCAATTGGAAGACACAAATTGAAATGATCTAATTTGAACCTAGTATGTAGGCAACCCTAGTCGACACTCGGCGATGGAACAGTGTTGCAGAATGATTCAACCTGTGAAGAAGATTAACTTGAGGAGAACCAAATTTGAAGCATGGATGAGGCAAGCGAAGGGTTATTGTCCTTGTAGGTGGCGATTCTGTTACGAATGACAGAGTCGATGAGTTGTAGCAGAGCGTCTGTTGATCTGAAAGTCTATCGATGGAGCCTTGCATTTCGTTCGTTCCAGAGCATGTAATTTGTGCACTGCCAAGCAAGTAGGATGAGTCTTCTCTTTTCCGTTGGTCCTTGAAGTGATTGCATTTGAGCAAGGGTGGAATCCCAGGAATTTAGTTGTTGAGATCTGCAACGCCTGGCTATGGAAGACCAGATTGTCCTAGCAAAGGGGCAATTGTAGAAGATGTGGTTTATGCTTTCTGGAGATAAGTTGCAGAGGAGGCAATTCGGGTCTGTATTGAGTCCCCAGCTGAGAAGACGGTCTCTTGTTGGGCAACGATTCAAAACCAGTAGCCAGGTAAAGAAACTATGTTTGGGAACTCCACCCGGATTCCACACAGCAAATTTCCATGGTACCTGTGGAGACTGGTCACGTAGTAGTCTATAGACAAGACCAGTGGAGTAACGAGTATACTCTTTGCCTTCCAATTCCCAGACGTAGTAATCAGGAGTATCATTAAGAATCAAAGTAGTAAGAAAGATGTGAAGAGAGACCTGGTTCTCAGAACGAGCAGGAGGAATCACCCATCTCCCATTGATGAAAAGCTGATGAAGAGTTGCATCTTTTGGAATCCCGAATCTTGAAACAGTTGTTGATGGAAAGAAGTCCAACAATTTGCCAAAAGGAAACCAAATATCTGACCAAAACCTACAGGTAACGCCATTACCAATGCGCAGTTTTATCCATTTGTAAACTTCATCTCTGACTTTCAGGAACTTGTTTGCTAACCAAGAGAATGATTGTCTTGGTTTCATTGTCCAAAAGCTTCCAAATGAACCTCGATAATATAAAAAATATTAAACCAAAAAATAATAAATTAATTAAAAACAAATTTCTCCCTTTCCACAAAAGGAAAAGGAAAGACAAGTAGTAGTCAAAAAGAAAAAATGAGAAACAAAAAATGTAAAAGGATAGACTCGAACACATGTGAGTCAATATCGATGATCATAACCAACACAGTAAAGCAATTTCATGAACATGTAGCCGTAAAAGTTTATTATATTTGGTGACCTATTTTGCTTTAGTTGTCTTGTGAACGGGTCGGGCGTGAGTGTCCAAATACTATGTTCATTATGAATTTATATAATGTCTAAATACTATGTTCAGTTAATAAATGATCAAAACATATGTTCTTTAACAAGAAAATAATCAAAGCATATAAGTCATGAACGCTACCACTTGGAATGCATAAATCATTCCTCCTGTCTGGGCTTTTCAAGTTTATGGGCTTCTAATTTATGAGGCTCAAAGACCATATTCTTAAATCCATGTTCACTCTTCTTACTTTTGGTTTAGTAATAACAATTATCAAGTGTTTTTATTTTTTATTTTTATTTTAGTGTTTATTATTTGGATTGAGAAGAATCAGGTTGATTATAGGGAGCTAAATAACAAGTTAAAAAATAAAACACTAAAATTTCTTATGGTTGTGTTTAAACACTTAGATATTAAGAACGAATTACAAATCATTGTTGGTTAAGATAAATTGTAAAAAACTTTTATGGTCTAATAGAGAACGAAAAATCAGCTCAAAACTTGTAATTTCAAAATAATACAATCAAACGAAACTCAAAAGTATAATGTAAACAGAAAATACAAAAGATTGATCTTGGAGAAATAAAGAATTTATTTTCATCAAAATTATGTTTACAACTTTCTTCTCCAATTTACATTTCCAATTTAGTGTCACAACGAAAATGTAGATGGTGATGATGATGACGAAGACGATGGAGACCAAGAAGTCATATCCATGGGATAACTCCCCAAAACCCGTAAAAACGACGTAAACTCCTGAACCTCAGCAAGCGCATTTTGAGCACGCGCCTCGGCCATCGAAGCCTCGAAATCGATATAAAACATGTACTCGAAATGCTTAGCCGTTCCCACATTGGCCTCATCGACTAGCCTAATGGGAACATTATGGTTGGGCCTAGACTCAATCTTAGTCAAACTAATGTTCCTAAACGCAAAAGCCGAGAGAACCTTAAACAAAACGCACGTGCCTTTCTCGTGAGCGAACACTATACTCGTCTTAAACGGCCGATCAGTTCTCGGTATAATCGGTTCACGCGCCAACATCACAAAGCGCGTGACGTTACTCGCGTCATCTTGAATCCCATCTTCCAAAATCTCCAATCCGTAGATCTCCGCCGCGCGTGCACTCGCAATCGCGGCGGTATCACGGATATTATTGGCAGCGATAAACTCCGCTGCTCCGGCGGTATCATCAACCGCTTCACGAGCGACGTTGAGACCGAGTTTAGTCAACGTGTGTTCGCATTGAGCTAGTCCTTGAGGATGAGAGATCACTCGAGTGAGAAACTCTTTCCGTACACCGGGAAGAGCCATGAGACAATGATGTACCGGAAGTTGAACTTCGCCGACGATATGAAGACGGTGACGGAGAAGAAGATCGTAATTCCGATGAATCGAACCGCCGAGTGAGTTTTCGACAGGTAAAACAGCGCGATCGGCGATCCAAAGCTCAACCGCTTGAAACGCAACTTCGAATTGATCGCAAGGAATCGCTTGACAGTTAGGATAAGCTTTACCAGCGGCGGCTTCGGAGTAAGCTCCGGGAACACCTTGATAGGCGACGCGGAGGTTAGATCCATGCATCGGAGCTGGAGATAGATCTGAAATACTAAGAGGCTTCTTCGATTGAATCGATTTGTTGCTGTTATTGAATGGAACTAGATTCAAATCTGAGATTCCGGCGCCGTTGTTGTTGACGGCGGAGATTAAGGAATCGGATTGTTCTTGTGAAACGACTTTGCTAGAGAGAATAGCGCATGAGCTTTGCCAATCGGAGATACTGGAACCAATTGAGAACGAGTCAGATCTCTTACCGGCGCAATGTATGACGTGTCTTCTTCTCGCCGCCGTTGTTACCGTCGCCGGAGTATGGGAAGGTAAGAGAGTTCTCATTGTTTTGTTTTTTGAGAATGGAAAATAATAAATTGTTTAAGAAGAGGAAGTGAGAGCGTGGAATGATCTTGTGCCTCTCACCGTTCTTCACCTACCTACCACCATTTGGTGAATGTGGGCCAAACAAGATAAGCCCAAACAATGTAAGAGCTTTTTCAATGCACATTTTCTTGAATAATCTCACTTTTTTTTTTTCATTTTCCTTTTAGAAAAAACTATACAAATATATCTATTAGAAAAATAAAAATATTAAATAGTAAATAAAATTAAACAAAAAAAATTCATTCAATTTTTTTTTTTTTTAAATTCATTTAATTCATATCAAACAACGGCGACTTTTTAAACATATTTCAACTCAATAAAAGATAGTGTTACTGAATTTCTTCCTAAATAACTGTCTTATAACTAAAACACATGAACGACCACAAGCACCAACTAAGACCATCAAACTTATTTTTATAAGTGTCGATGATGTGTCATTATTTGGATTAAAATCAGCTAATTTGTATGTATAAGTTCTTGACTATTATAAGAAAGTACGTGTATAAATTATATACGATAAATAAAAGTCTCTCTCGTCATTATTCAACTCAAATTGTATTTGTTTATCATCCAATTTATTTATTTTAGATATTTATTGGTACATATAAAAGTAGTAAGGGAAAGGTTAGATACTTAGATCACATCCATCTACTTTTGTTTTCTAGTATTTTAGGTACCAAACTCTTCCAGATAATTGTTTATTTTTCTTTTCCATTTGTATGTTATAACCAACTCTCCAAAGTCTAAAGTCTAAACTCTAAACCAATCCATATACGTAACTCACCCACCAAATTATACTTAGGCCCTGTTCGTTTCTCCATTCAGATGGATCATCTGGATGGAGATGAAGAATGATGTTCGTTTTTAACAATTTAACCGATCATTTGGATGAATCATTTGGATGGATCATCTGAATGAGTTTGTAATTTTAGGCAAATTTGTCAAACTCATCTGGATGAATATGATTGGAGCATTTGGATGGAGATGATCCAGTCAGTCAAAAATAACAAATGACAAATATACCCTCATTTATAATCCTCCTTTATAATCATATATCAAATAATGTTTATTTTCCATACATTTATCATTTTATATTCTAAAAATTACATATTTGCACCAAATAAATTCTCTAAAAATTGTGAAATCAAGGATTATCATTTTTCGTCAAAATTATAAAATCGCAGAATTGTGTTTTTTTTTTCCGCCAAAAAATGTAATCATAATTTTTGATAGAAAATTATGGAATTCGTCAAAACCGCAAAATCATATTTTCTCGTCGAAACTGCAAAATCATATTTTCTACTAAAACCATTAAATCATATTTTTCAGCCAAAACCGCAAGATCATATTTTCCGGCAAATCATTCCCGCCAAAATCGTAAAATCATATTTTCCGGCAAATCATATTTTTCCTTCAAAAACCGTAAAATCGTATTTTCCCGCCAAAACCATAAAATAAATTTTTATATGTTACAATCATAGTTTGATATTATTTATTTGTAAATATATTTTAGAGCAATAATTAAATTAGTATAGCTAAGATTAAAATTAAAATATAATTAGATTAAAAGTATGAGTATTTTAGTCATTTTTTGTTAAAGTCATCTAGATGGAAATGAAGATTTATAAAAATTAAGCATACAAACAAAAGTTCATTTAGATGCTCTATCCAAATGAACATCCAAAAATTGAAATGAACAACATTGAGATAGAGCATTTGGATGGAACATTTAAATGGACCATCTGGATAAAAATGCCAGATGATCAAACGAACAGGCCCTTAGCCGATCTCTCAGACTTCCTTTGAACAAATCTTTTATTAAATTCGCAATATATTTACCAAACAAGGAAAAATATAGATAGTGAAAAATAATGAATAACTCTAGTTACAAAAGCATTTGATCATAATCTATATAACTTACAACATCACTTCCATATTCTCTGTTTTAACCAAAAACTCTCCAATAGACAAACTTGCGACCTAAGAAAAAGCTTCACCGTGACTACTAATCAAAATAACAGAGGAGATGAAAAGAAAAGAAAAGAGTTTTGCTCTGATGTATTATTCTAACTTTCTTTTGCTCTTTTTCTTTGGCAGTCTTCAGAAATTTGACTCATAGGTTAGTCGACCTTCTCTCTTTACTCTTCATATATTGTATGTTGACAACTTAATATATGTGTGGATAATTGGATTCCTCATTTTTTCCTTGGTACAGAAGAGAACGAGTGACGAATTTGTTTCATATATAAGAAGAGGGTGTCTTATATCCAAAAAAGAAGAAAAGAGAGAAGAAGAATTATTTCACCAAATCAAGTCAACTCTCAAATATGCGGACGTTCCTTTCACCACGGCCATGGCAGCTCTCTGCCAAGCTCCTCCCGATGGATTTTTGGGTGGTTAAGTGCAGAGCCGGCCCTAGGGACAGGCAGGTGAAGCATCTGCTTGCGGCCCTGTAATAATATATAAACTTTCGGCCCCATTTATGAAAAAATTTCCTTTAGCTCCGTTGGTTACGTTCAGTTTAGTGACATATACAGGTGCAAAGTTCGAATCTTGCTTTTTAAAATTTTTGCTATTTTTTTTTTAGTTCATTAGTTTTATAGGCCCAAAAAAATTGTTGCTTGTGGCCCATTTATATGTTGCGCCGGCTCTGGTTAAGTGACAATGGGCTTTAACAAGAATCCATGCTGCTTGTTTCTCTGTTTACTCTTACGAGATAATGGTTGTTTCTCTTTTCTTTACAAAGTAAAAAACTTCAATGATCTGTATATAAACTTTGTTTATTTTTAGGTTTTCATCAAGCAAATAATTTTAATCCATGTCTGTTTGTAATGGATCATTGTTTTGTCTCTGAATCTAGCATCTAAAAGTTCTCTGTTTTTTCTTTTTCTCTTGGCATGATTGGTGTTTAGCGACTTAGCGTATTGAAAGCTGTTGTGACAAGTCAAACAATTCTGTGGTAGACAAGTTAGGAAACAAGCAACCGTCACACTCAGGTGTATGCAAGCTCTTGTTCATTATCAGTCTCGTGTAAGAGCTTATCGCAGAGCGCCTTTAGACTCAATTGAACTATGAGATCATGCAAAGCACATCGAGGTAAAGATAATTCTTAAAACTGGGTAATCAAATACATGAGTTTCGAGTAAGACTATTGAGCATTACTTAATTTATGTTAATCTTGTTGATGTGTTCCGCACAAGGATTTATGTGGTATTATCTCAATTATAAAGGAACAAATGGAGCAAGAAGGAGCTATTAAAAGGAGAGAGCTATGGTATACTAGTGCATAAAAAGAAGATTTAAGAGTCGTAAACCACATAAACCCGCACGTAGTGTGGGTATTCACCTAGTAATCATTTAATTTTACAAATTGCCAAATTGTGTTGCAAGTATTTTAAACCAATTTGAGACCATGGTTTTGGCGTCTACACAACATTTCCAATCAATTAAGATTTAATAGTTGACATATTGGTAATAGAGAGTTGATCAATAAAGTTCTTCAAGCAAGGAAAATAACGTAGATGGTTATTTTCATATGATTAGAATAGAAGCAGTACACAAATTTTCATGGAATCAGAACCTAAAGAAAGCAATTTGGAGTTTTCATGAAACCAGAACCTAGAAAATAATAACAGATTGATTCAAGTAAGGCCAGACAGACCTAAATATGTAAATCCAGTTCAGCTTTCAGATTCTAGATCTACATGAACATATAGTGAAAGAATTGCATCAAATCAAGTAAATTGCAAAATAAGAGAATCTGAAAGAGACACAATCCCTGATAGTAGTACATCGGTTCCTTTGTCTAAGAAAGTCTCAAACTCATAAAAAAAACTTCAAAATGTTTCACAAATAACCAAAATACTTATTCTTCAGCGGCGCTCTTGATGTTGTGCTTCCTTGCGTACCTCTGGTTTCTCAAGAACTTAGGATCCATCTGAAACATCATTTCACAAAAATGCAAAATAAAACTCCGAAACTATAACCCGAATCTGAAATCAATTAGGTTTGAACTGTTGTAAAAAGAGACTTACTCCTCTGGTTGGAGTGTGACGGTGCCTCCTTGGCTTCTTGATTCCGTTCTTGTGGGCTTTCGCCGACTGGTTATGCGCCGTGTGATTCTTTGACTTTGCCATCTCTGTAACAACGGCACAACACAACTATTCAAACTCAAACAGAGAAGAGTAAAAACGTGAAATTATATCCAGCGATCGGCCGGATATAAGCAGCTAACCTGAGTAAGGGGAGAGACGCGAGAGGTTAGATGAGAATGAGATACAACCACACAACAAAACCCTAGATGGAATTTAAATCACCCAAATGGCCTCTTAGATAATATATGGGCCTAACGAAATGTGGCCTACTTTGAATGATATAAAGCCCATAAAATGACCAAGGCCTGAGAACGTCAACAATTGAATCAGAAGCACTTTTCTACAACTGCGTTCGTTAGAGTGATGTTTTTCTAACAGAAAGAAAATGAATAATGAATGTTTCCCTCTGCCGTGAGATTAACCAACCTCAGGCTTGCCAAAACCATATTTAAACAGTTAATAATGTCTGTGTGCATTCATTTGATCGGGTAAACTTCTTTTTATCGGATTTTCCTTGTCGAGCCAGAGCCATGTCGCTGAGACCCAACGCCAGGACGGAGGAGAGAGGACAACATGGTTGAGATCCGTAAAAGTAAGCGTGAGGAGAGTTTGATGAAGAAGAGACGTGAAGGTATGCAAGCTCTTCAGGATTTCCCTTCAGCTTCCGCCGCTCCTCATGCCGCCTCCGTCGATAAGAAGGTAAACTCTAAAGCAATCCATATACGTAACTCACCCACGAAATTATCCTTAGCCGATCTCTCAGGCTTCCTTTGAACAGATCTTTTATTAAATTCGCAATATATTTACCAAACAAGGAAAAATATAGATAGTGAAAAAAAATGAATAACTCTAGTTACAAAAGCATTTGATCATAATCTATATAACTTACAACAACATCACTTCCATATTCTCTGTTTTTACCAAAAACTCTCCAATAGACAAACTTGCGACCCAAGAAAAAGCTTCACCGTGACTACTAATCAAAATAACAGAGAAGATGAAAAGAAAAGAAAAAGAGGGATCTCTCATCTGACATATTTACCACTTTTTGCCATTGTGTTGTTTTCTCAAATGCCCACCCATTTCACCCATCTGAAAAACCGACCCACCCGAAACGGCAGCTCATAGTCTTTAGCAAGTGCTGGTTCTCTTGTTGCAGTCTCACTGTCAGACCAAACATAAACTCCGCGTTCTTGCTTGCTCCCCGGGACTGTGTTGTCCAAAATCACAGCCATTATGAACGCAATCACCATGTTCATCGATAAGAGCGTGTTCATCACATAGTTCACCTGCAAATACACAAGAAGATTTGAAAACTCAAGGTCCCGTGAAAGTTAAGTGAAAGTGAAAGTGAGGGCAAAGCGTAACGTACTAACGTACCCCTTTATATTGGCTTTTGAAGGGTCCATGAGAAGAAACAATGTAAGGTTGGTAATAACTTGGAACAGAGAGATTCGAGTTTGGAGAAATGCCGTATTGCTGGAAGTAAGCTGGGACAGAGAGAGAAAAGAACAGCGACAACCCGACAATTATGATATTCCGTGAGCTTCCAGCTTCACTATAACGTAAGTTGGAAAGACCTAAAGCCGTAAACATTGCCCACATAAAGCAAAGAAGAGAGGCAACCATGACTTGCGGAATTGATGCGAGAAACCCTCCAACCTTGCCTGAGGATATCAAAAACTCTTTTAGTCAAAGAGAGTAAAAAATGGGACCTGTTGTACAGTTGAGCTTATTTTCCAATCTATTTATTAATGTATAGTAAAGTTACTTGTATTTACTAAAGAGGTCATGTTAATTATAAAATGGAGAAAACTTGAAACTTAAAAGATAAATAAGCAGTACGACTTACTTACCAAGAAGGGAAAATATAACCAAAACACATGCCCCTAACTCAACGACTCTGCGGCTTCCCATTTTGGTCACAGCGATTGTGTGAACGTTTTCGGTTAGAGTGGTTGAACCAGTACCCATACCCCAAAGACCGGCTAAGACACTTGTGAAACCTTCAAGACCGATAGCCCGACTCACAACACCACGAGTTGGAGGCCTTGATGCTACTAATAGAGAAGAAGCATGGTACGAACCAACCTGCCCATAAAATTAAAAATTACAATATATGCGTATACCATATCATAAACTGATTAGTAAACATGCATTATTTTGAATTCAAAACATAAATTTGATGGTTGAATTAAAGTTGATAGGAAGCACTAACCGAATCTACTGAAGCAATTATGGAGACTACGCACATAACAAAAGCCATTTTCCAGTTGAATATCGGTACACCCCATTGCAAGGGGTAAGGAAACCTAAACCAAGGGGCGGAACTCAGTGCATGAGAAGTATCAACCCGACAGTACTTCATTCTGGTCATGTATTTTCTGCAGTGGCTCGATACAACATTTGAGACAGGAACGTTTGGGTCACAACCTTTGTAGGTGAAAGCTCCTGCTTCGGTTAGAAGGAATGCAGCAGCCCAAGTGATTGCAAGACTCAATGGAACCTGTCCGTAAGAAGTTAAGAAGGTCAGTCAAAGTTACATGTCGAGTGGAATATGTCAGATGATTACCACATTATTTGAGTTGATTCAATTGAAGTAAATATATCTCGAGTACTTCCTTTTCCTATCTATCAAAGGAGATAAGGAAAAGCAGACATGAATTTACTTACCGCATAAATCAGGAAAATACGATGGCTTAAAACTGAGATTTTCCGGAGGTACTGCAGCAAAGATTGTGAAGTATCATATAGTGTTAACATGAACCTGATGTAATATGATAAGTTTAACATAACTTAATGAAGAAAGCCAAACTCGAAACTAGCATCCAAACAAACTTCATTTGCCAAGAGGGTGGTTAAAAGTAATGTTAAAAAACTTACAAGAGCAAAGATGATCACAAGTAGTATTTGCACAACACCGATCTCAAGACATTTACCAACAAGCGGGAAACCATAACTGTAAAAAGAAAGTCCAACTGCAGCTATTGTCGGAGCAACAACTACTGGATTGACCAACCTATATAGAAGGTCAAAAGAATTATGAATACAAGTAAATACTGCACCACCCAAAGCCATACCAACCATATGTAGAAAAACACCAAATAGGATTGATTCTATATGGAAGGTGTCAGCTTTCGACAAAGACAAAGATGTATACCTCAAAATCAGTGACATTAGGCCACTGTATCCAAGCACTGCTTGAAAAGCTGAACCAATTATGATTGCACCTTGTAGCTCCCTCATGATATGCTTGAAGTTCTATCGTATTAACCAAAACACAAAACTAGATGTCAAATTGTGCAAAACAATCTATATAATTTCACACAAAAGAAAGACGACAAGCTGGAACAATTAACAAACCATAGAAAAAACTGATTTCACTTGCATTGTGTACATCAATGCTATAGACAAACGCAGAAGCATAATCACAAATACCAAGAGTAGGAAAAGGTGTTTTCCATCAACTCATGCCTAGTGCAGAAGTCTTCCTAATAACGATTCGTTATTTCTTGCTAAGTAACTTTTGCCATAAAAATAGAAAGAGAGCTCCAACAGGCTACTTGCATTATTTATAAAACAGATACTTAAGCAACAAAAACTTATGAGGCTGCAATATAACAGTTACATTTCGATAATAACACCACCATATCTTCAAAGGAACCCACCATAAAAGATGTTTTGCTTTCTAACTTACATTATTTCCATTCAAACCTTGAAATTCCGGAGAGTTTATTATAGCCAAAGCCGGAGCAAGAAAAACAAAGGAAGGTCCTTGAATCAAAGGAAGCCTCGACCCAAACGAAGTATGCAACAGTGTAGTGATTCCAGAGACAAAAAGTACAGTCGATACAACATTTGCAATGTCCTCCTATAATCGAAAAAATCAGATGGTCAAAAAAGATGAAATTAAATGCAATCCTCACTGATCAAAGTTCCAAAAGAATCACACTTACGTGGGAACCTCCCATTGCAGGAACAATAACCAGTGGAACCAGAATCAATGATCCTAACATTGAAAGGTAATGTTGCAAACCATAGAACCCAATTGGAACTGAAACACAAACACACACACAATCATTAACCAAACACCAAATATAAAAATAACAATTAAAGTAAGAAACTTTAAAAGATCCATCAAACTTGAGTCATTGTCTGACATCAAATCCACAAATGGAATCTATCAATATATATTAATTACCAATTATATAAGTCACAATCAAGAGAATCAATAACAAATTAACAAATAATAAAATCACTCTCACCAAGTCCAGGAGTATCTCTAAGACCATACTTCATATGCAAATTTCTAGCCACTAAATCATCATCCATACTCTGAGGCAAAACCTCAACAGTCTCTTCAATACGACCCGGTCTTCTAACCGGGTCACCTGACCCATTAGCTCCATCAGGTCCATTTGATCTTCCAGTAACTCCATCAGAATCTCTCCTTCTCTTAACCGGCTGATCCTTAACCGGAACAGCAACAGAACCAGGAGGTGGTGGTGGTGTTGTTGTTGTTGGTGGTGGTTTCTCTTTCTTATCTTTATCAGTCTCACCGTTAGCTACGGCGGAGGAGACAGGTGGAGGACGGAGTCTGGCTTGACCAGCTTCAAGATCCGGTTGGGTTTCTTGTTGTCTAGCTCTAACCGGTAATGAGAGCTGACCGGAGGAATCAGTGGCGGTAGTCTCACCGGAGAATTTAGGACGAAATCCGGTTTTTTTAGCCCAAGAAGACGGTGGCATTGCGGCGGATTCTGGAGCTGGAGGCCATGGACCCGGTTTAGTTCCGGGTTTCGGGTCGGAGCTTGACATTTTCCTTGTGGGTTTTTTTCTCAGTTATTGCATTCGTGAAGATGGAAACTTTTTCTTTAGATCTAGAAAAATCTCCTCGCCGGAGAAGGAAAACGACAAAAGAAAATTGGGAATTAGGGTTTTCTTCAAATCTCCAGAGAGAGTACAGTTGTGTGAAGAGAGTGAGAAGTTCTATGAAGAAGTAACAGTGAATGTGAAAATGAGAGAGAGAGAAAAAAAAATCTAATCTAACATTTTTTTTTTTTGTTGACAAGAAATCTGATCTAACATTTCAACTATTTTATTTTAATTTTTTTTGGTTGTGTTATAAATTTACGTCTGACATAATCGTGTAATGTCATAAATCATAAAAACCAGATATAGCTTATCTGAATTTTTTGTTTATGATAATCTAATAAAATTCGACATGCATGTGGATAAATAATCTTTTTAAGGGAATGAACAAATATTTATTTGGCATGAACTTGAGAATATTTAGATGAAGATTGATACTCTTTATATAACGACCAAAACATTGCTTAGAGATCTATAAATAATAAAGGTTTTTGTTGTTCAATAACAAATTATTACGAAATTAACTCATCTTGAAGATTTCAGCAATCATTTTACCGAAACTTTCATGGATAAATAAAAAGAGAAAGAAAAATTTGGATGTCTAAATCTAATTGTGGTGATTATATATAGTAAAATTCTATTGGGATCAAATTTTCGTTGAATCAATATAGATCTTATAACAAGACTGAGGATGGTTTATACATCAGAAAACTTACAATATGAAATAAAATCTATCGTTGTCAGATCGACACGCTTCAAGACCTCATGCATGACATGAGATTTCCGTTAAGATCATCGTAATATATTGATCAAATAATTGGGACAACCATGAGATTGGATGATCTTAACGGAAATCTTATGTATGAGGTCTTAAAGCGTGTCGACCTAGACAACTTAATGAATGTTTCCTCAGTGTGTAGATTCTTGAATGTGGCAGCCCAAGATGAGTGGATCTGGTACCGGCTCTGTATGCCTCTCTTGAATGGCAACAACATCGACGTGAATGACCTCACATCTGCAATCTTGACCTTTGGCGGCTTCCGAAAGCTATACGCCGTTTACTTGAGGCCGATATCTAGGCCAATGGCTTCCATCAGTGAGTTCAAACTTTCGCTCTTCCTTCTCACAATTCGAGCTCAAACTTTCACTCTCCTTTATTAGATTCGAAACATCTATATCACATTGTCTCATTTATTTTGATGATCTTATTTGACTCTCTTTTATTTTGATGATCTTATTTGATTCTCTTTTATTTTGATGAAAAAAGTGTGTTGGTAAGGGACAAAATATTTATTTGTTTTCTTAATTTGTGTTAAAAATGTAAACGACAGAATCTACCTCAGTTCTACTCGTCACCATTACGGTTCGTACAATCATACCATCCCAACTCCATCATTCACCTTATGTGCATCCAAAAAATTATGTATTTTTAGTAGAAATAACTAAATAGTTGGTGTATTTTTGGATTTTTTTTCTAAAATATATGTTGTTAATAATATATCTTATGTTTTAAAAACCAGCTTATTACGTATGTATTAATCTAGATTTGAGATTGGCCAACGCAGACCGACATGGTGGCAATATTCTGAAAACAAAGGATCAAGACAAAAAGATGGTTTTCGTTCCAATAGATCATGGTTACGTCGTAAGTGCTTTTTACTCTTTCTCTACTCTTGCGTAGCTTCAGTTTTGTTTCATGAAACTAACTTTTGTATCTTGCAATAGTTTGGCGGCTAATCGTTCGAATGAGTGAATGAGAAAACTTGACGCATATAAACTACAAAGAAATGAATGTATTGAATCAGTTAATTGTATCACAAAATTAAGTGATGTTATTTTAAATTACTTATTTATAAATGAAGCAAATAAATATGGTTTAACATCAATTATATAATTGATGTTATAATTAACTAGTTTGACATCAATTAAATAAAATTGATTAAATTTCTATTAGTTTGTATCATTTTGTTAAATTATGATACAAATATAAATTTACATCATTTAGATAATTGATGCATCTATTAATTTTTGATAACATCACTTTTTAAAATGATTTAAAATTTACATCAAGAAAAACTGATGTTAATTAAAAGATTAACCATCAGTTGTAAAAAGTGATGTAAAAAAATGTAAAGTTTAATATAGTGATTTTGGTTTTTTATGGTGTAAAAAATGTAAAGTTTAATAGGCACCTATTATCTATAAAATAAAAATTAATAGTTTGACTTCATATTAATTAATAAAATTATATAATACTTGTTTTTATTTTAACTTCTTTTTTTTTTTTTTCACAAGATTATATTTTATTAAGGTAAACATTACAAACATGGGCTAGAAAAGCCCTACAACATAAGCAGTTTCGAAAACAAATTAAAGCCCAACAAAAGCTCAATTATCCGTCGCTTGAAGAAGAAGAAGATTTGATCAAATAATTCCCCTCAAAGCCTCATGTTATCAACACGTGTATGATGAGTAATCGCAAGATTTCCATCGTCATCCTTCGCCGTCGGAGCCAACGATTTTTCCGGTGAATGAAATTCAACTCAGTGAATTCGTTTGTTTTTCATCGGCTACTGCAAAACAGTATCATGGATAAAGTACAGATCAATTAAACTCAACCATTTACTAGAATCATCAAAGAAATTTGAGATCCAACGAAACGGTAAAAGAGAATAAGAAATCTGATTAATCCAAAACTGTTAACTAGACCAATCGAAGCTCAAAAGACAAGTAACAGCTAAAGGCAATTGTAATATGCTATGGAAATTGCTTCATATCTTCAACTAAAATCGCGAATCCCTTGGATGATTTTCAAAAACTGCAAGCTCAAAAGAACGAGTTGGAAAAGAGACACTTATGATCGAAAATCGCCACAAACGCCACCACCAACACAGATCCGAAGAGATGAAAACTAAAAACAAACAACGGTACTGAAAGCACCGTGAGAGAAACTAAAGCTAGCCATCGTCGCAAGAACCGATCGATGCCAGACAAAAGCCGGCCAACCTCGCTGAAAAAGCCGAGAGATGCCAGAAAAGAGCCAGCCAACGGTTCTGATTAAGCCACCGATACCGGAATAAAGCCAGCCATCGTAGTTAAGGAAACCAAACGATGCCGGAATAGTCGTGACGAAAGCCGGAGTGAGTTAACCGGACGGCAAAATACATAGCGAAGCCGGAGTGAGGTAACCGGACGGCAAGATAGAAATCAAAGCCCGATCTAGATCAAACATAAAGTCAGATCTAACCGAACGGCTAAAAAGAAAAATTGAAGTAATTCTCTCTCTGAAAAATTTTAGAGAGATAAGAGAGAGAAATGACTTCCGACTTAATGTAGGCCATGCTTTATAATACTTGTTTTATGTAAAAAAAATTGAATATTATTTTATTAATTTAACATCAATTATTGTTTATAATAATGTGCTCGCCTTCATGATTCCGGTTAATCAAACCGAGCAATCCCGGTTTAGCTTCTACAGTTTATTGAACCGTCTTCTTCAGTCGCTTCGAAAGTTTGTGGCTTTGGGATTTGCAGAACGAAACAGTCGAAGAAAAATGGCTGCAACTAGGTCTACATTTCTAGGCTCCATCTTCAGAACCGTCAAAGCACGAATTTTGATCTCACCCATCGCTAGAATCTCTCTACTAAACCCTAATTTCACTTCCTCTCGCTTCCACACTTCTTCTTCTTCTCTTCGTCAGTCTCGAATCGAAGGTTCTATTCCAAGGTTTGTGACGATGTCCTTGATATTTGAATCCTTTTTTTTTCCTGAATTGAATGTTTTTATTTGTGGGTTTATCTTACTCTGATGCAAAGTTTCGATTTTGATTCGAATCAAGAAGTTTTCTTCCGCAAGACCTTAGCATCCATGGACGATTTCATAGTGTCATTGCTTCCACTTGTACCTCTTCTCAAGGTACTTATGTTTCTCTTTATCTATGATGATTCTTCGACTCTGCAAATCTTATAATTGTGAGCTTTTTCTCTTGAATCAAAGTGTAGGTCGATTCGCATGTATTTCTATGTATATGCCATACGCAACTTCAGTTCCAACACGTTCACTTAGAAGGAGAATCAGCAATAGAAAGAAATCGATTACGAAACCAGTCCTTAATGAATCAAAGTTTCAAGAAACGATTACAAAGCTTCCACCAAGATTTACCCCTGAAGAACTAGCTGATGCTATAACTCTTGAAGAAGATCCGTTTCTGTGTTTCCATCTCTTTAACTGGGCGTCGCAGCAGCCAAGGTTTAAGCATGTGAATTGCTCTTACCATATCGCGATTCGGAAGCTCGGTGCTGCGAAAATGTATAAAGAAATGGATGATATTGTGAACCAAGTACTCTCGGTTCGTCATATTGGTAATGAGAATTTATACAATTCGATCATCTTCTATTTCACGAAAGCCGGGAAGTTGATACGTGCTGTGAATATATTTAGACACATGGTGACTAGTATGAACTTGGAATGCAGACCAACGATTAGAACATATCATATTCTCTTCAAAGCCTTGTTGGGTCGAGGTAACAACTCTTACACAAGCCATATGTATATGGAGACAGTAAGATCTTTGTTTCGACAAATGGTGGATAGTGGGATTGAACCAGACGTATTCGCTTTGAACTGTTTGGTTAAAGGTTACGTGCTCTCGCTTCACGTCAATGATGCTCTTAGGATATTTCATCAGATGAGTGTTGTTTACAATTGCCAGCCGAATTCGTTTACTTATGATTATCTAATACATGGGTTATGTGCACAAGGTAGGACCATTAATGCTAGAGAGTTGCTTAATGAGATGAAAGGAAAAGGCTTTGTTCCTAATGGGAAATCTTATAACTCTCTGGTTAATGCTTTTGCGCTTACCGGTGAAATCGATGACGCGGTGAAATGTTTGTGGGAGATGATTGAGAACAGTCGTGTGGTTGATTTTATTACGTATAGAACACTTGTTGATGAGAGTTGTAGGAAAGGGAAGTATGATGAAGCGACGAGAGTATTGGAGATGTTGCGAGAGAAACAGCTTGTGGATAGAGATTCTTATGAGAAGCTTGTGAATGTTCTTCACAAGGATTTGTAGAAGATGTACAAATTGGTGTTTCTTAGTTTGTTGTAATGTCGAAATTTTGGTTGAATTTATTTAATTGTTTTTGGTTTATGGTAATGGAAATTAGTGTTATTAGTGGTCATTAATTTTAATCGGCCAGGGTAAACCAGAAATTTAATTTCGTTTTGGTCAGGGTTTTTCTTGTAAACCGATCGGTTAAGCCTTTCCTTGAAACGACGTCGTTTGGAAACCGAGCCGCTTCTTTTATTCTTTGTCTCGTCGTCTCTGCTTATTGAATCTCCGGCGGCTTCAACCGGCGACTCTCCGGCGAAAGGTGCGTTATCGTCTCTTCCTCTTTAACCTCTGGTTAGATTGTTCGATTTTTGTTTCACTACTTTGAATATCTGAATTTATTGTTTGTTTAGGATTTCAAATATTTCAGATTTTGTGAAATTGCTTAGTGAATTGTGATTTCATTTTCTGGGGAACTAAACGTGAGCACAGTTAAAGTTTTCTCTTTTCGTGTTCGTCTCAGAATTTGAGAAGATGGGTCGATACAAAGATGAATCTCCAGCGGTTAGGGTTTATACAGTTTGCGATGAATCAAGGTTTACTAGTTGAATTTGTTCTTCTTGATTTCTGGGCTCAATTTATTGAAATTTTGAACCTTTTGTTGGTTTTTCAGATACTTGATAGTACGTAATGTCCCAGCTTTGGGTTGTGGTGATGATCTCATGAGATTATTCATGACTTATGGAGAAGTTGAAGAGTGAGTAGTGCTCTTGTTTCTCTCTTTTTGTTTCTTGCATTGTTCTTGTGGACTATGATATTGTTTACTTGTTTGTTTGATTTGGTTGGTTTTGATTTGTGTAGATGTAAACCTATGGATGCAGAAGACTGTGCGGAGTTCACCGATGTCTACTGGATCAAGTTTCGTCTCATCACTAACGCCAGGTTTTGATTTTTCTTTCCCTCTGATGATGCTAAGATTCCTATTTTGCTTATTATTGATTCCAAACTCATAATCGTTATCTTAGCGATCATAGGATTTATATTTTTCTACCCTTTGTGTTACTTCATAGTGTAATGATATCCGCATTTTAAGTTCTTGCAGCTGAATCTGTCGAATTGAGCTGTGTGATTTGTCTTGGTACGATATTTTAATCTACTGTTTTTTTACTTGTGATATACAAATGAACTATTTCTTTGGATGAGATTGGTTTATGTTTGGTACATAGAAAAAGAGGCCTAATTAGGTTCATTGGAGTGATGATATCTGGATTTCAATTCCTGAGGCTAAAAATATCGATTTTTTTTTAATCTGCATTATTGGTTTTCTTGCTATATTTTGTTCACTTTTGGTTCCAAGAGGAAACTTTTGTTTTGATTAAGATATGTTTATGTTTGATAGATTTGCAAAGAGGAAATTGGATGAATCAACTTTTTTGGGAAATCGGCTCCAAATTTCATATGCTCCTGAATACGAGAGCGTCAGTGACACAAAGGATAAGTTAGAAACTAGGAGGAAAGAAGTGCTTGCAAGACTGAACCGTAAGCTTCCTGTATACACTTCAACTAATTTTTTGCTACAACAAAAAAGATTATCATTGGAGAAATTGGAAAGGAATAGTGTCTCCTCAGTAGAGTATGAACCAAAAATGCTGTCTATTAGTAATTGATAAACTTTTGCAGTGGCATGTGAGATTTATCATTGTACCTAAAGTGGACCCAAAAAATCACAACCTTGAATTTATTGCAGTATATGTGATATATATTTATCACGTTATTTAACGTACTTATTTCATAGGGAACAGACATCATTCATATGTTGCAAAGGCTAACATTTTGTTTATAGCATTGTATTAGCAAATGGGTATTAGAAAAGCATTGACAGGGTTGATGTCAAAGCGAATAAAATAAAATTTTAAGACGATATCCAGTATAACTTCACAAGTCTAATATGGTTCTTATCTTGTGAACAGCCCAGAAAGCAAAGATTACCTCCCAAGTTACAAAATTGGCTGGACCAGCTTTGACCCAAACGGACAATTTTTCTCCACAGCGGTAACATATGGTCTACTTGGTGTTTTCTTTGTATCATCAATAAATAAATAGAGTTAGTGCATGAGAGATTGTTTCTTCTTTTTGTCTGTAGGAGAGAGATGGAGTACCAATTCCATAGAGGCAGTGCTCCTGTTACTCGAGTTTCATCTGACCAGGTGTGTGTGTTTTTTGTGATCTTGACATTTGTCTCGTTAAAATATTTGATCATCTGTTTTCCATTACATTCTTGGAATATCTTGGCCTGAATAATTCGTTAATAACTGGATTGCGTAGGAGTATTTTGCGTCGTCTTCAATGAATCAAACGGTTAAAACTGTGCGGGAGAAACTCAATAAGGTAAAAAACTTCCCGAGTTTGCATTTTACAAGTGAACTCTCACAAAATTTTTAGACTCTTGAAGAAAACATTTCCTCATTGTCACATTGTAAACAGATTGAAGAAAGTGGTAACCAAAAGAGATTACAACCAAGCAGCCAAACACAACCTGACTTGAAGAGAACCCGAGTCGATAACCGAAGAAGAATATAACACACTTTTGTTTTGTTTATGTTTTTCATTGAAAATCTTGTTTACTACTTGATCATAATAGTGTTCTTGCAAGATATAATTGTGAATATTGTATGTAATTTGTGCGTTTCTTGAAAACTTGTTACAGTCAACCTGAAACCAGTACTTCTCTTTCTCTGTTCAGTCTCAATTTCTTGCTCCAGAAACAAATCAAACCATACAAACCAAAATTGTACCGAACAATTTGTAATGATTTTGGTTTCAATTTGATATTTAGATATCTATTTTTTTTTTGGGTGCGAAAATTAGATTGAGTGATTTAGGTGAATAACCAAATCTGATAAAATAATTAAGATTATAGCACATTAAATTTGTTGCAATGGTTCAATTAAACGGTTACAATTTTATTTAAATACATTTTAGTAACTAAATTTCGAATAATAGTTTATAAAAAGTTACACCGAAAGACATGATTGTAGATAATTAAATATCATAATGATTTATAAAATAAACCAAGAGTTGTATTTGTTCGTGAAATAAATTAAATGTTACAATGGTTCAACTAAACGGTTGCAACCGTTTACGAAAAGTTACGATAAAAAAATGCAACCGTAGAAGATATTTATTCGGATCGCAACTTTCTAAAAAAATTCAACCGTAAAATATATATTTTTAATTTAAAAAATTAAATATTTTAATGATTTATAAAATGAATCAAAAATTAAAATTATTCGTTAAATAAAGTAAATGTTGCAATGGTTCAACTAAACAATCGCAATTGTTTATGAGGTGTTACGATAAATAAATGCAACCGTAGAAAATATTTATTCCGATTGCAACTTTTTGAATAAAACAACCGTAAAATATATATTTTAGTTAAATAACCAAATTTAAATCTATATAATATGAGACGTAACTTTAAATGAATAGATGCAACTATAAAGACAAAACCATAAACTGAAAAGATAAGACTGTAGTTGAACAAATATAACTGTAAAAAAATCCGTAAATATGTTAACAAAGAGATGCGATAAAAAGACACAACCGTAAAAAATAGCCATAAATATTTAAACGGAAAATTGCGATAAAAAGACGCAACCGTTCATAAATGCAAAAGGTTTTTATTGATATTGCTATTATATATAGATTTGTAAACCCATGCCCATCATTATAACATTTTTATTAGTGTATAGATTGCGTATTTTCGTGTGCATAAAGTATGAACACAGATTATTTGAGGTACATAGGAAAGAGAAGCTACAACATTAAAACTCGCGTCTGAATTCTGGATATATACTCAATCATATATACGCCAAATCCACATTAAAGATGATAAGTTTAAAAATCCTTAACCCTATTGTGAGGTTTATAATCTGAACTTTCGTATATGTGAACGATTGTTTTGGAGACACTCATCATGATTGGTTCTCGACTTCTTTCTCTCTCGATCTCTCTCGTGTGTAACAAAACAAAGCAGAGAAAAGTAAAAGACACAAAGAGTTTTACGAGTTCAGGTTCCAATGTGGAACCCTACATCTCGCCGGGATGATGTAATTGAACATCCCGGAAATCCACTAGTATACTTGCTCATCACTCAACAATACAATGCGTACAAATGACTAGACCGCACATATCTAATGAGATTTACGAAAGTTGTTAGGAAACGTCTTGGTAGATGACTCTTTACGTTCTTGTTCTCTGATCCTCTGTCTCCAAAGGTGAAGAAGGGCTGATGCAGCATGACAAATCTTGCGGTCTTTATGTTTTGTAAGTCCCTCAAGCTTATCCATCATCCTCCTTGGTTCTCTTGGTTTTGGAGTAATATTGATTTTCATCAGTAACGAGAGAGCCTCAACGCAGCGAGACGCCTCTGCTTTACCTGAGAGAACGCCCTTAGCGTTGGCCACATCAGCAGCTTTCTTTGCGTTTTCGAACAACTTCACCATCTCGTCCACTTTCTTGTTCTTCAGCTCCTTTTTATCTGTTATAGTCTTCTTTATACATGCACCAGAACTTAGTATGCATGTAACATCTTCACGTGGCTTCTTCGTCGTAACATCCTCCAAAGCGACACGTCTTGTCTTCACGTTGAGCGGCTTTAGATTGGTCTTTGTCTCTTCCTTAACATATTTCTCGTCACAAGCCTTAGCTTTATGATCCTCTTTCTGCTTCAACGCCAAAAAGCTGTTCCTTGCTTGAATCTTCTCTGTTTCACGAGTTAATGATCTCTCATCTTCTTTCTTCTTCTTCAACTCCGAACACCTTGTTAGAACATGCTTCTTCGTCTTCAAACGAGCCTTGGTAACATCGAAAGAGTTGTCGCTTCCATGTGTGTAGAATGTCTTCAACCATGAATGAAACAAAGCTTGAGCTTCCTTACGGATCCTAGGGTTCCTATGACTTCTCAAAGGATCCAGCTTAACTATTGATTCAGACAATTCTATATCCTTCGCGGAAAGAGACAGAGACTTCAAGTGCTTCAACAAATCGACGCATCTCTCGACTTCGCATGGGTTCCGTGTGTTGTAAGTAGCCTTAATTGCAGCAGCAGTCAACTCGCATAAGTCAGATCTCTCCTTCGCAATCCTTACTCTCATCTTCTCTTCGTTCTTGATCATCATGTGGCTAGGGTTTCAGTGTATGTTGAAATCGAAATATGAAAGAGATAATGAGAAAGAGTATATATATATAGTAAAGATGTTTGTAGAATTGATGCTTTATTATGTTCACAGACTTAGAGTATATATACAAGAAGAGTAGCTAGGGTATACAAGAGTACTTAAATGACAGAATATACAACTTGACATAAACTCTTCCTTGACATAAGCAATCATGGATTGACATAGTCAATCATATCATGATTGATATCCTTGATACGCCCCCTCAAGATGGAGGTGCTTTTGTAACTCCAATCTTGCTTGTAAAGTTTGTGAAAGCAGCCCGAGGAAGAGGTTTCGTTAGGACATCTGCGAGTTGATCATGTGTGGAAACGTGAACGACACGAAGAGCTCCTGCTTGTACTTGATTCCGTATGAAATGATAATCTAACGCAATGTGTTTCATCCTTGAGTGGAAAACTGGATTGGCACAAAGATACGTAGCTCCCACATTATCACAGTAAATAACCGGAGTTTTTGGAAGTGTGATACCAAGTTCTTCAAGAAGTGAGCAAACCCACATCATTTCTGAAGATGCATTCGCAACGGACCTATATTCAGCTTCTGTTGATGAACGTGTCACACCATTTTGCTTCTTAGAGGACCATGAAATTGGATGTCGACCAAGATACACGATGTAGCCATTTGTGGAGACATAGTCGTCCGTATCACCGGCCCAATCAGCATCTGAATAAGCATGTAGAGATAACGTATTACCTTTACGAAGGAAAATTCCATGCGTCGTCGTCCCTGCTAAGTATCGAAGAACCCTCTTGACCGCTTGCCAGTGATCTGTTGTTGGCATATGCATATATTGTGATAGACGGTTAACAGCATAAGAAATGTCCGGGCGAGTGAAAGCGAGGTATTGAAGACTGCCCACAACACTTCTATACTCTTTTGGATCTGGTAAGCGTGTTCCAGAGTGTAGCGTAAGCTTAGGTGAGGCTGCCATCGGCGTTGTTACCGGCTTGGTGGAGAGCATGTTTGTCCGTGTTAGCAAGTCGAGAATGTACTTCCGCTGAGACAGATGAAGACCGGTTGTAACGCGTTTTGCTTCTATTCCAAGGAAGTAATGCAAGTCTTCATGTTCCTTTACCGAGAACCGGGTTGCCAATGCCGCTAGTGTCTGTTGTAAGAGAGCCGCATCATTACCCGTGACTAAAATATCGTCTACATAGACCAGCATATAGACAATTGACCTTCCTTTTCGCAGAATGAAAAGAGATGTATCTGAAATTGAATTGACAAAACCAACAGTGATGAGATAATTTCTTAATTCAATGTACCATGCTCTTGGTGCTTGCTTGAGTCCGTAGAGAGCTTTACGAAGACGACAAACATGAGTCGGTCGGTCCTTATCGATAAATCCAGGCGGTTGACACATATAAACTTCATCCGTTAAAGTGCCTTGAAGAAACGCATTGTTAACGTCTAACTGTCGAATAGGCCATGATCGATCCACTGCAACTCCAAGAATAATACGAATGGTTGTTGATTTAATTACAGGACTAAAAGTCTCTGCATAATCAAGCCCTGGTCGTTGATTGTAACCCTTGGCAACAAGACGTGCTTTGAAGCGATTTATTGACCCATCAGGATTGTATTTCTTTGTGAATATCCATCGGCAGCCAACGATAGTGACGGACGGAGGAGGAGGTGGAACAAGATCCCAAGTGTGATTTCCTAGCTGAGCATTGATTTCAGAGCCCATTGCATTGCGCCATCGTTGATCTTTCATTGCTTGTAGAGCGGTGCGAGGTTCTGGATCAGAATCAGAGGCAAGTAACGTTGCAAGGAGGTATCGTGTGTTGGGTTTGGAGATACCGTCTTTTGCCCGTGTGGCCATCGGGTGATTGTTAACAGGTATGACGGCGGCGGCTTGTTCCGGTGACGGAGGAAGGTGATTATTTTGCGGTGATGGTGAGGGTGATGGCGTATGAGTCGGGGTTGCGATTTCAGAGTGAGTTCTCGTTGGTGAGGAAGTTGGTGTTTGGGCCGTATTGAAAGAGTTATTATTATGGGCTGAGAGTTGTGTTTGTGGGCTGTTTTGAGGGTCTGTGTTTTGTTGGGCTGAAGTGTTGTTGGTTTGTGTTTGGGGATTCTGGGCCGTGGGTTGCGGCCCATTTTCAGTAGGAGCAGTGGGCTCAGATTGGGAAAAAGAAGAAGTCGAAGATGATGAGTTAGAGTTGAGAGGCGATACCTGAGGGTGAAGCGACGAGGAAGACGACGATGAGATGGCAGGGTGAGGACCTGAGCACGGGGGAGCTGAGGGAAAAACCTTAAGCGTTGTATGAGTTGGACCAGTTACTATAGTTTCCGGAACTTGTTCATGAGTGCAAGTCTGATTGGATGGTGGAACCGCAAACGGAAAAGTTTGTTCATCAAACTGAACATGTCGAGAGACATAGAGACGGCCTGTTGGAATGTGGAGACAAAAATACGCACTTTGCGTAGTGGAGTAGCCCAAGAACACACATCGGAGTGAACGATCTTCCAACTTATGTCGATTATACGGTCGCAGCCATGGGTAGCAGGAACAACCAAAAACTCTTAGCTTGTCGTAGTTTGGAAGTGTACCAAATAACTTTTGATACGGAGATTGTAAGTTGAGAATTGGTGTTGGAAGACGGTTGATGAGATATACGGCAACAGCAAAGGCGTACGGCCAATATGTCTTTGGGACTGAAGCGTGAGACATTAGAGTAAGTCCCATTTCAACAATATGCCGATGCTTTCTTTCGGAGATCCCGTTGTGTTCAGGCGTATGTGGTGGTGATGTGAGATGTGATATCCCGTGTTTGGCGAGATAATCCCGTAACGCGATATACTCGCCCCCATTATCAGAGTATAGCGTTCCCAGCTTTGTTTGAAAACGATTTTCCACCAGGCTTTTGAAGGCTATGAAGGTTTCTTTGGTATTGGATTTTTGTTTCAATGGATAAAACCAAGTGTATCTAGTGTAGTGGTCAACAAAGATTAGGTAGTATCGGAAGTTATCACGGGATATAATAGGGGAGGTCCAAACATCGGAATAGACATATTCAAGTGGACGAGAAGATGTGATTGTTGAAAAAGAAAACGGTACTTTGTGACTTTTATTGATCAAGCAATCTGAGCAAGACAAGAGCTTTTGAGAAGGATTTAAAACAGGAAGTGAATAATTTGAAATAATAGTGTTTAAAATTGCTGATGATGGGTGGCCTAAACGACGATGCCACGAGGAATGAGTAGCCTTAGAACACGGAGACGCAAAGAGAGCCACAGACTTTGACGACACAACCGGCCACTCATACAACTCAGCTTTAGTTTTGCCGCGGAGTAACGGGACCCCCGTGCTGAGATCCTTCACCTGAAATGATGTAGGAAAAAATTCCACAGAGACACGATTAGCGTTGCATAGACGATATACCGAAATAAGGTTCTTGCGTATATTAGGGACATATAAAACGTTTTTAAGATTTAATAAACGAGACTGTGTAAGAAGAGAGCAAGAACCAGTCTGTGTGATTGGGATTGTGGATCCATCAGCAATCATCACATCATCGTTTCCGGAGTAGGGCTGGTGAAGAGCCAGATTGTTGAGGTCCGAAGTAATGTGGTGAGTAGCACCACTGTCAAGGACCCACGGGTTGGCTGGGTAAGGAGAGCCGAGTGCTAGGTTCGCCCTTGGTTGCCATGGAGTAAATGGAGATGACGGCTGCGTCATTGCAGACTGAAAAGTCTGAAGCTGAGAGCATCGCTTAGCACTATGCCCTTGTACACCGCAGATTTGGCAGCGACCCTGGTATGGTTTTGGACCGCGAGAATCTGCTCTGTTTTGCGATGAAGGTTGCCAGTTGCTGTTGTTGGATGACTGCCAATTGTTGTTGTTAGTGCCTTTTGGTTTGTATGACGAACGGTAATTGTTGGAGCTGGGACGCTGTTGAACAACGTTCGCCGTGACTGGATTGCTGGGATAAATTGTGGCAGCCGCAGAGAGTAGCTTCGCCTCATGGTTGAGGAGACGCTCGTGAAGCTCCGTGATCGTTGGTGGAGTATCACGTCCCTCAACTTGATCAATGACCTGCTTATAGTCTTCAGGTAAGCCTTCCAAAATCACATCGATCTGATCCTCATGTTCCATTGGCTTACCAAGAATCGCCAATTGATCAAGACGAGTGATTGCGCCTTGCAGGTAGACATCAATCGTCTTCTCTTCCTTCTTCCAGTTTTTGAGCTGCGTCTTCAACTGGCGGATGTGACCCCGACTTGGTTTGGCATAGGTGAGTGCGAGCTTGTCCCAAACTGCAGCAGAGGTGGTGGCACGGGAGACAAGGGTTTGGAGCGGAGTGGAGATGGCACCAATGAGAGAACTGTATATTAAACGATCTTGTCGTTTCCAGATCTTGAAGTCTGGATTCTCAGAGACGACATCAGCGGTCGTGATGGTGGCCGGCGGAGCCGGTGTGGATCCATCAAGATGGCCTACAAGATCGTAGCCATCGAGCAAGGCGTGTACCTGAAGGCTCCAGGTGAGGTAATTGACGGCAGTGAGCTTAGTCACGTTGGACATGTTGATGGAGAGGATGGTCTGGTTGGTGTTGTTGACATTGATTGCCTCGGAGGCTGGGAAAGTGTTGTTTGAAGAAGACATGATGTCTTAGTGTTTTGAAAGCGAAAACAAGAAGAAAAAAAAAAAAAAAAATTTCCTTGAGAGAGTATTAGAGATCGTGAAGCTCTGATACCATAAAGATGTTTGTAGAATTGATGCTTTATTATGTTCACAGACTTAGAGTATATATACAAGAAGAGTAGCTAGGGTATACAAGAGTACTTAAATGACAGAATATACAACTTGACATAAACTCTTCCTTGACATAAGCAATCATGGATTGACATAGTCAATCATATCATGATTGATATCCTTGATATATAGGGCTTGTAAGCGGTGCTTAGCAAAAAGGAAACTTGAGTTGCGTATCGGAAACTCTATCTAATCACATGGATGGATCTGGTT